GTATCATGGTAAGACCAGGTCTAACTAACAGTACTGTTGGTAATCCATTCAGGAGCTCTACTTTTCTCTGGCTTTTGTCCTACTTTTTGATAAGGTCACCAGCTTTCCAATATTTCCTCCTTTTTCTCTCTGTTTGTCGCTTGATGAGCTACTCTGTGCTTGCCACCTTGAAGTCCCTAGAGGTGGAGGTGTCAAACCTGGAAGGTGAAAAATGTAATGAATGGTCCCTCAGCCCTAGATAACTCCCTATTCTCCCTTTAATTTTTGGGATGCCATTGCAAACCTTTTTCCAGTCTTGGGAGACCCTGGCAATGGTACATTTCTATGCCCAGTGTTTTCTGTTATCCTGTGCATTACAACCAAGTGATGGGGCTACCATGTTTTTTATAGCTTGGGATGCATATGACACAGGTATTTGCATGAGTTTGTGCTAAGAAATGGGTCTGATGTTTCAAGACTTCTCTTGATTCCCCAGATTGTTGAGGCCTTGGGGTACATGACACTTTTCCACGAGACAAAGGAGCAGTAAACCTACCTGTTTGTGGAAGCTAGGGCTTCCTGCTAGATATGTATTGTTACCTACTACTGAGATGATGCCTGAAAAGGTCCTGAAGCAATGGATGGGGACAGATGCATACTGTGGGGTACAGGAGAAACTTACTTCCTGATAATGTTTGGGCTTGGATCAGCAATGTTTGCACCCAGCATTTTCCTATGTTGCCCAAGCAAATATAATTTGAGCTTTTCATACTATCAGTACATATCTGCAGTCAATGGAAGACAACCAGCCTGTGAAGGTAAATGAAAATTTGGTGTATGAAGCTAGGGAGAGGCAGCAATGTGCTTTTTGGGGATAAATTGATGTTCTCTGTTTGCTTGATATCAAAGGAAGGAAGGAAGACATTGGGTTCTAGTGCTTATCATGCAACCACTGATCATGCAGTAAAGCACTTGAGCCTGGGCCCTGGAGTGTGTTACAACAAAGTTCTGTTAAAACTAGCTGAGAGTGTTACACACACATGCCTTTTGGCTGGGTTTTAGCTTGTGGCCAAAGGGAGGGCTGGGAAAGATGTCCCAGTGCTGACTAGGTAATGTTCAGATGCTTGGGTATAGTACAAGAATGATCACAGGGCTTTTTTCCCAAATGATATGACAAGTGTTATGTGTAGATTTTTTTTTTACTAGGTTTCTGCATTATAACAGAAGGCTGGAGGGAAGGTACTGGACCTGAACACCAATCACTTGGTGTTCATGTCCTTGGCTTGCACACTTCAGGATGGGGCCCAAGATCGGTCAAAGCAGGACTCTAAAATCATTTAAGGCTATGCAAGCACAAGACTTTCAGTTTAGTTTTTGCTTGGTTCTGAAGGGGATAATTGATCGCCCCTGTGGGTAGAGCCTACTGGTAGGACCTTGCCCGTGTTAAAAGGTTGGGCCTAGACCTTCTTTTTCGGGAATCCCTCTGTCAAGGATGATTGTCTTCCATGATTGTCTTATCTGTGTTTCTGAAGATGACTGATGAGGCCTATCTGGGATTGACAGACTCTACTGCAGCTTGGATGTGTTTCTGTGTGGGGAGGATGGTGGTGGATTCTTGATTTGCTCTATGACATGCTGTTTCTGCCACCATGTGTGCTTTTTCTTCTGTTAAACAGGACTATTCAGAATCCAACAATAGTAATATGTCTTCAGTAGAAATTTGCTGGGCCCTCTTCCTTGCAGTACTGCAGTCCTAATAATAATAAAAAATAGCAGCACATCTCAGGAAACATCTTTCATGCTAACCATTGGGTTGGCATTCCTTGTCTAGTGCAATTGGGATGGGGGGGGTCTAGGGATGGGAGACCAAAGCATGGGGTCTTGCATTGCAAGTTTATGAGGGCTGACTGGGAGAGGGAAACTGAGGTATAGGGTCTTGTGATGGGCTGGCTGGGAGGCATGGGTCACTTGTTGGATTGAGGTAATGAACAACTGAAGTTGAGGGCTTCAAGGGAAGCACACAAGGAACACATTTTGTAACTGAAAATTTTAGTTCTTCAAATAAACCTAAGATAATCATTTGAAAATAAAGGCCTTCTCAGTCTTACAGTCCCACTGACCATCTGGTGGAAATTGTTAGTCAGGAAAGGGTGGCTGCCTCCCACCCATCCTTTGCCAGTCTGCACTGTAACTCATGCTGGCATGAAGCTGGTGGTATTGTCTCTGGGTAGGTGGGGGAGGGTAGGTGGGCACAGGTGCCTTGCAGTTGTGTCATGGACATACTCCTCCGCAGCAGTAGCCACCCTGTTCAGGAAGGGTGGCATCAGGTGCATAACTCCACAGTGAACTGGAAGGACAGAGGAGTCTGGAGGAATGATTCTTGGACCCTCTGCATCCTTCACCAGTCTCTGTACCAAACCTAGCAACTGGGAGTCTGCTGAAAAGTTCTCAGCAGCATCTCTGACCAGTCCTGCTGGTGCTACTTGTGGTGGCAACACGCTGTGCAGATGTCTCCGCAAGGTCCATCTAGTATTTGATCTTGGTACTCTTGCTTACATTTTTGGCTTCAGGAAATCCTCGAAGTAGGAATGTTCCTTCATGGGAGAACTTGACAAAAAGTGGCAGGCCATGGTGAACCTCAAGTGGGTACTTGGGTTGGTGCCATGTTGGGCTTAGGTCACACCCTCCAAGGGTGGTTAGGGGTGTTACTCTGAGGCCAGTGCCACCCCACTAGGTAGGTTAATGAACCATCCCATGGAGCAGAAGTGGGATGGGGTGAGGGCTGCGAGTGGTGCATTCTGGGATACTGGAGGACTGCAAAATGTTCATATTATCTCCATGGAGCTAAATGTGTGTTTCCTAACATGACCTAGCAATAATCTCTTTAAAAAGTTTTAAGTTTGCTATGATATTAGTGCCCTTATTACTACTTGAACATGTGGTTGCTTGTGTTTTAAGAACACTTAATATGTGCTAAATGTGGAAGAAGGCCATCTCTGTTTCTCCCCAAAAACTCTGCTCTGTGATAATTTGGTTAGGATGGGCCTTGCAGAGGGTACACACCTTACCTTATCTCTTTAGGTAACCTCAGCTGGATACATTCCTGAGGGAGGGGAACAACCTGTTCCCTCTACCTATGTGACTGGCATCACATACCGGGGTGAGGGGCTTGGGCTCCCTGGTTGGTTAGAGACAGCCAGTCTGCCCAGTAACCAGTGATGCATTTCAAATTGGTTGGCTGACAGCCAACAGGTGCTGGCCACCATTGGACCAGGTAAATGAGGTCATAAGGGCTATATAAGTTAAGGATATAACCCAGGAGGAGGGGGCAGCAGCCATGAGGAAAAGTCAGAGAGAGAAGAGCTGGACCATCTAAAACTTGCTCTCTCTCTCAAAACTCATGATCAAGGAACTGCCTGCCTCCAGAGGGAATCTCTACCTGCCTCTGGATGATACTTGTGAGTAAGCTACCTGAGATCTAACTAGATATATAGCTTGCAGTAAATCGTCGCGTGATCAAAGGCTACTCTAGCCACCCTGTTTGCTCTATGGGATTTCTCTGATACTACTCAACTCTGTACCCTATTCTAACCCCACTCCTTGTAACCAATGAAGTTCTCCTTTGTACCCAGCATGGGATACTTACTGGGAGTGAGTCTAGATTATGCTTTGTGATCCCCTTGGTTTGGCTAAGGGAAACCACTACTTGTGCTTCCATCTGAGGGAAGCACCCCCAAGTGCTTGAAATGAGTCAAGTCCCCTTGAGGGCTACTAGGCCTGTATTTCTCAGGGGACACAGTGCCAGAATCAAGCCCGTCACTGGGTGGTGGCAGCTCTACCCCCAGGCTAGCGGATGTGCTCCAGGACGGGGATTGGCCAGAGGTTGGTGGCTCAGCACAGGAGCACCCCCTACTGGCCTGCCACTCTAAGTGTAACATGCGACATGGCCCCACCAACAGCTATTGTAAGTTTTCTCTTTTTTTTTACAGTGTATTTTAAAATACATCTCCTTTAAATATATGCTACTGTCAAAACAAGGGGGGCAGTGGGAAGAAAGAAGTGGCCAGCTGTGTGTGTACTTGGCAGTTAATTTCTATCTATTTTCAATGCAGTTAACATCATTTTCTGAATTAACATAGTTTTCTGAATTAACCTTACTACAAATCCTTATCGGCTTTCAAAATACCAGATGGCACAGGAGACCAGTATTCTCTCTATCCATACAGACATGTTTCATTGCCCGAGCAAATCCAGACTGCCCATCCATGCACCTGAATACTGACCTCAGAGAATGATAGTTCATTATCCATTTATTTTCAATCCTTGACTTCAATTTTTATAGTGATTTCTATAATGCAGAAGACTGTCCCGCAGACGCAGGATAGAGAGCACTAGAATTATTTTATTTGGGTCATCAAACAGATGATTACAACTGTCAGTCATTCCAGCCTTGGCTGCAATCATACTGGCAACCTAGAGGTTAAAGGCTCCTATTCTATTATTGTATTTCAACTGTTATGCTTCATCCTATATTGGAAGGCTAGGATTTCTGTACCGTTCTGTTCTTTTTGTGTTAGAAAACAATTTTTGCCTGTTTTTCCTAGAGCTGAAATGTATCATTTATGTTTGTTTAACAAACAAAACTTGTGATTCAGCTGTTTGTTATGCCAGAATAACTATGTGCCAGCATTAATGTAAGTGCCAACATAACTTTGGAAATTGTGGGAGAATGATTATTGTAATAATCTTTCTGTTTCTGCAGTTAGTCTCTCCCTCTTCCTGTCCTCCCCCCAACCCCATAATGTAGTAGCTAAATTAAAAAAATACTTCTGATGAGTTTTACCATTTTACCATTACTTCCTCTGTCTTGTCAGATGTGTAGCTTTTGCCCAGGTCTTATTCTAGTCATCCATTCAGTGGGTTTATTTATTCTTTTTAAATACATGGAGTTAAACAGAGCCTTTGTTTAAACACAATAAGGTGCATTTAAGTGTAATACTGTATATATTTCTTCATTGCAGAGAACAGATCCACAGCTCCTTGCTCAATTCTATTATGCAGATGAAGAACTGAATCAAGTAGCAGCTGAACTGGACAGTTTGGATGGAAGAAAAGACCCGCAAAGATGCACTCTGTTGGTCAACCAGTTTCGCTCTTGTCAGGTAATCGGAATAGCATATTCTGGCTTGGTTCATATTTCATTTAGTTTATCCAGATACAGTGTCCAGTTTTTTTTACTTACTAAACCCTTAGGGAATATGTTTTTGGAATTATTTGTAAACACTAAATTTGTCTTTATATTTGCTTTCAAAGAATTTTGCATAAATGCAAAATTAACAACATCCGTTTGAATTAACTGGATAAACATTTATAAACCATTCAGTTCAGGTTTATTATTTTTTCTTAAGAGTATTGAATATTAATTGATATGCATACAAGAGTACTGAATACAGTGGTCAGAGTTCATAATGGCTACTGAAATCTGTAATGTAGGATTTTAATATTCAATTCTGACCTCTTTTGTAAATATTGATCTTTTAAATGAAATCTACCCTATCCATAGTAACATATAGTACGCGCGCGCGTGTGAGTGTGAGCACGTGTGCTTGCATGTGTGCGTGTGCATACATATGACCATCATTTCAGTACAATCCAAAGGCAAAAGGCTGGGAGGCTGCAAAGATCAATTAGACATTAGAGCTAGACTTGATGATCTGTGAATCTATGATTGATCCATTTTACAAATCAAATAAAAAAGAAACTAGAAATTGTACTTTTCCCTGTTGCATAATTCGTTAATCAAAACTAACTTTATATTTTTATTGTATTTTCTAATTTATTAAAGGATAGCAAACTCAGGGAAAAAATTGTAATTACTCATTGAGTCTAAGGGCAGACATTTAGGATGGATTGCGTTAATTAATCTTTGAAGGGCTCAGAATTAAGGACTAGTCTAAGTGTATAGAAATGCATTCTATTTTGTGTAACTAAATATGACAGTAAATTACAACTGATAGGGATGTTATTGTATCAAAAGTTCAATGCTTCTTTCAGCAGAGAAGTGTGCATCAAATCAGCCTGTCACAGATTGAGATTTTGAGGCAAAGAAGTTTGCATGCTATTAGACCTTGAGAGTGGTGTCATCTGGAGTTTTGTACTCCTGGTAGGGTCATCCATGGCATCAAGGTTAGGAATGAAGTTTCCAGTCTAATAATGATCCAAAAATAAAATTGCTAAATGGTAGAGTAGACGGATGAAGGATTAACACTTCACAGTGGTTTTCGAATCAGATGAAAGCTGCAGAAAATAGAAACCTCTGGTCATCTAGGATTTCCTTGCCATTGGATTAACTGTTGTGTTGGCAAAGTCTCATGTGGTTGCTCTTGTACAATGGCATCCCCACATTAATAGAAGATCTACACAGGTGTCTTCTGTCCACAGCAAGTCCTACGGTGATGTACGTGGGGCAATAGAGGCAGGTGCTAGTGACTAGTGGAAGACCCTTGTTATGCACCTGCAGTGGAGGTAATGATTGCAAGATGGTCATTTTGTACTTGGAACTGAGACAGACATGCAATTTGGTAACTGCGCTCATGACTGAGTAGACCTATTTAGGATCTGCTCTGTTCATCCTGTATGGGGATGGGGCTAGAAAAGGTGTCCTCAACATAGTCTGTTTCATTTCACCTGACTAAAAGGTCATGTCCAGTGATATCAGTATGTCTGTGATCCAAATCAAGTAATGAAGTTTACAACCTGGAATGTCTGTACCTTGAAACTGACCATCAAGTGTGACAAACTGGAGCAAAGGACAGCACTCGTGGTCACAGAATTTGCATGAGTTGCCATTGACATTGCTGCACTTAATGAGACCAGATGCAGAGGAGAGGGGCTGAATGCTTGGCAGAATGCCATGAACTCCAAACAGAAGCAAGATATTGATCACCTTATTAATTTATTTATAAGCAAGTTGGAAAAAAGGTATCTTGGTAACTGCAGATCATTATTATGAAAATTTAGAAATGTGAACTAACAGATTCCCGCTGACCTGAGAGATGCCAGAATCATTACTATATTCAAGAAAGGAGATGGATTGGATTGCATTAATTATTATTATATTGTACTCCTGTCCATACCTGGGAAGATCCTTGCCCTCATCCTCCTCAGTAGACTCACTTGCCTCACTGAGAACATTCCACCCAAGTTTCAGTGTGGTTTCAGACCACTTAGAGGTACAATAGATATGATCTTTGTTGCTGGACAGCTGTAGGAGAAATGCAATGCAGAGATCTTTACATGGCCTTTATTAACCTGACTAAGGCCTCTGATTCAATCAAAGGAGAGGCTCTATGGAAGATCCTGATGAGATTTGGATTCCTGCCACAATTTGTTACCATTATCAGTAGCTGTGCTCCTTTCCCTGCTGCCTGCCTAGAGGCATGTGTGCACCTGCCACCAGCCATGAGCTCTGCAGACCTCAGTGCAGCAGTTTGTAGCCAGCCTACCACCTGCTGCGCCCCTCTCCCCCTGGCCTTAAAGATGATGCAAGTTGTGGGATGGTAGATTTTAAGACTTATGGTTGGGATGTGAAGAAAGTGTCTCTATCGGTAGCATAACCAGGTGGGCAAGATAGACACTTGCCCCAGATGCCAAGGTAGGAGGGGTGCTGGAATCTCCCTGACACCCCCACAGAGACTGTGCCTCAGCAGCACTGCTGGGCTGGGAACTCCAAAACAGTCCCTGGCTGCCGTTTCTTTAAGAGCAACAGAACTGAGGTGGGAAGAGCATGGTGGTGGCAGCAGCTCTGCCAGGACTGTGATGGAGTCCCATCCTGGCAATACTCCTGGGGTGTGGACTCCTGGCCCCCACCTACTCTCAGAATCCATGTGCCCCCACCCCAGACTATGTCCCCCTGCCACCGCATGCTATTAGAGCAGCCCCAACTGCTCTTGGAACCATGTTTCCCTTTTCCACTCCTTCCCTTGCAACCCCGCTCTCCTTCATGGTTTGCCTTAGGCGCCTACCTGGTTTGTTAAGCCATTGGTCTCTGAAGTGAAACATGTCTTATCTCTCTTGCATAACTCAAGTAAAAGTCCTACAAGCTTGACCCAAAGAAGCCAAAATCCAGAGTTCACTGGGCTCAGGTGACCAGTAGAACTTCCCTTTAAGGTGTACACTTTCTTTCAGAGTCAAGAGAAGTAATCGGAAGCCCACAAAGGAATGTAAAAGCTTCCTAACAGGAAATGGTAAGGGAGTGGAAACAAAAGCTCACTCACACCTCTCCCAAATTAAAGAGAGATAATTAATTCTTAGAAGGATGTTAAAGAAAGTGCATTGACGAGTGCATTGTTGTTGTGGCTGAAATTGCTTACCGTTGCTAAGAACAATCAGATTGCTAAGATTTGCTAAAACAGAGTTGCTAGGCTGGTGGAAAAATTCTATCCACTAATCAGGTTAAAATGACATTGAAGAACAGTGCACTATCAGCATACCAAGTGCCTACATTAAGCTAGCTGATTCTATGGACAAAAGGAAAAAAAGTTTCATGCACTTGGTACTCTCCTTCCTAATATCTTTAAAAGAATATTGCATAGATTTTTTGGATCATGTTTCCAGAGAAGCAGCTGGAAGTCCATTGTTACTTTAAGAGGGATATTTAGTTATCTTAGTTTGCTGTTTGCAATTCCCGAAATGTTGCTACTATGCTATCACCAGTAAACAGTCATGGACTGTAGAAGACTGCTATAAGGAAAACAGCAAATCGAGTGTTAGCCAATACTTCATGGTGGTTTGAAGTTTTAGTATTGCTCTTTTTAAAAGAACTTTAATTTGCACACCACTGAAAAAAGCAAGATCTAATTTGCTTCTGGGCAAGCTTCATGCTCTAGCATTTAAGAGCACTAGTATTGTCACAGAGTGCAAAAAGCAGTACAACAGTGGAGTCAAAGAGCAATTTGGGGAAAGGAAAAAAGTATTCCAGTCCTACTAATTGGAATAATACAGCCATTAAGTTGCTTCTAGCAAGGATGTGGGTCATCTTAACCTCTACAGTGGTCTCAGACAGTAGGATTCAGTCTTTGCAGGTTAGTCTGAGCTGCAGAGATAAAACTGAGAAACAAGTGAACAGACATTTACTTTTGATTCAGGAAATGCATCCACATGCCTGCAGTGGCTCAGGCCAGAAGCTGGATGCAGTTGGGG